TCTTGCTTCAGATTAATATCAGGGTACAAACGATTAGGTTATATTGTTTGCATTTGTTAAGTAAAGGCCAAGTTGTAGTTGAACCCCTAGAGGGCAATTTTAAACTGGATATGCCAGTAGCTAACCCTGAGATATCTGAATTTCCCTCAGTCAACAATCTCTTCCTTCAAATTGACACTTTCTTCATAGAAAAAGAGAGAAAGCAAGAGGCAAGGTTCACGCTTCATAGACAGGAATCTGTAGGCTGCCTCAGCTGGGCTGTAGGAGGCCTTATGCCTTCTGCAGATGACTTGAAACCTTCCAAGGCCATGAGTCCTGTCGTGTACTCTGGGGGATAGATGTGGGTGTAGACAAGCCTGCCCCACGGCAGAGAAGGGGCTGAAGTTTCTCCTGATGGAAATTACCTTAGAGCCATCAGCTCCATAAAGGCAAGCAGCTACTGTGCATTCCCAGAGCTGAGGCAATCACAATCACATAAAATCTGGAATTCAGACACTTTTGTCAAAAAGTGAATGTATTTTTCTACCACTTGTTTATCATTCGCAAGGTTTACATGTTCCTGTGCACACCCTGAGTCGTTCCTGTAAGCAATCTGCTCCAAGTGGATGACTGGCTGTCTCAAACACTGACTAGGTCATCTGTCAGCTCAGTGCTGGTCTCTGAAAAGAAGCTTCCTAACTACCCATTTCACAAGTTTGTAAGATGGGGAAGTGCACCCTCTGTTGCTGCTTATAACAGACATTCACCTACACCTCAAAGGGTGAGGACGAAGGCAAGGGAGCAATGGTTTCCCAATTCTACTATTTTCTGTTTTCAGTCATTTTTTTGGAAAATTACCCAGTAACAGAGTCTGGCAACTCAGCCAGGGATCTTACACAAGCTCTTTATTCTAAGGGCCGCAGCTTCCCATTTGTAAAGCAGAGGAAATAATTCTGCACTGGCTTCCCTCAGGGCATTGCTGTAAGGAACAAATGAGATCACGAATGGGAGCTGAGACAAGAGAAAGCATTTTACAAGTGCTGTTCTCATGATCCCGTGAATTAGCAGGTTTGCTTGGCATGTGTTTGTGTGTGTGTGTATCTGTCCATATGACTTAACTTTGTTCTAAACTAAATAGCTACAGACCTTCCCTTACCAGCATCTTCCCTTAAAGTTGTGATAATTATGTTTGAACTAAGCAAAATGATAAATGCTAACAGAAATTCCTCCCCAAACTGCGAACTCTCACATCTGATATGGATAGATGCCTTGTGGCCACTGAGAAGGGAGTGTTTTTGCTTTGTGACATCACTGCTGTGATGGTGTCCTTCGTGCCTGGATCTGAGCTCTGGTCTAACCCACCAGTTCACAAGCAGGCTCTGAGTCCCAGCAGAAACTGTGCTATCAAGCGTTGTTTCAGAGGGAAATAAAATGAAATGAAACTCTTAACACAATATCATTTAACTGTCTTTATTTTCGAGCTACAGGTGCTGCTGCATTTTATTTTTGTAAAGGTGGGGTACAATTCTCTTTTTGTTGGTGTGAAAAGGCCCTTCTTAGTATAATCCTTGTATTTTTCCATCAGACGCTTTCAAAATAAAGAAATAAATTAAGCAGTTAAGAGCCCTCCCCTCCCAACCCCAACCATTCCTCTCTGTGGCTTTTCCTTAGCGAGCTAATCATGGCCCCAAGCAGCCTCTGCATGCCCCAGCATCCCCCACTGAACGTCACCCTGCCAGTGCCTTCAGCTGTGTACTTCTCATGATGGGACACAATTCATCCTCCAGACTCCTGCTGCAGACTTTCCTCCAGGAAATTTACCCCCTCGCTGTGGCTTTGTGCACAGTGTCAAGGCAGAATGGCTGGCTCTGGAAGCAGGGGCAGGGGCAGCAGTGGGCAGGGACAGCAGCGGGCAAGGGTGGCAGCCGGCCAGTGTCCAGATGCCATACACAAGCAGCAGCCTTAGGAGTGAATTACTAGCTTTCCTGTAGCATGTTGCTTCTGAGGTGACACTTCATAAATGTCACCTCATTTATCTTCCTGATGCCCCTCAGAAGCAGGGAATCCCATAAAATCCACCCAAGAAGAATCGGCAGTTCTTAAGTGGCCCTCCCTCTACGTTTCTGGGCAGCAAGAAGGGAGCCTATTGAAAGGTTTCACATTTCCCTTCATTCTGTACCCGTGGTGTTGAGAACTGCTGCCCTGTGTTTGCCACCAGCATGATTTGTGCCATAAACCTTTAGTGCTGGGAGTGGGGAAGCCGACCTTGGAGCCAGTGTCCATGCCATGAAGGAGCCCCAAGGGGGCCTGGGGAACAGGGAGAAGAGAGTCAGCGGGGGTGGGTGGCATAGAAAGCTTCCTGGAGAAGCTGTGGCTGGAACTATCTCAGAAAGGCCGAGAAGGAGTCAGAAAAGGAAGGAAAGAGGAAGGCATTTAGTCCTTTTAAGAATTCTCCATACTTCTTTCCATAAAGGTTGTATTAGTTTGCAATCCCACCAGCAATACTAATATGAAACCACTATATAAACAACTACACACCCACACAAAGGATAAAACACAAATATAATCCAGCAAGGGGGAGGAGAGAGGAAAGAACTCACCTCCTGTGCACACATGAGGGTGTTCAGCACGCCCCTGGGTGAAGGGCTCAACTACAACTTGAACTTTCCCTTAGAATCGAAAACAATGTAACTTAAACATTTGTATCCACATATTAATCTAAAATTAAAAAAAGAAGAAGGCGGCAGTTTAGGGGCAGCTGAGAGTGCGGCAAGGCAGAAGTGAAGCTACACTAAGAGCCAGAGGCCATATCATCTGCCTTCATGCTGAGGGGTTTGGACTTGGTCCTCAAGTTCAAGGAGGTTATGTGGTAAGGCTTTCACCTGCTCCTTCACTGCTCCCTCTCATCCCTCTCCCGCCCCCCAAAAAACACCCACAGTATACACAAACATTGTTTTTTTAGCACAATTGCTTAAAAGGCCTGATATTCCATAACTTTTTGGTATATGAATTAATTAATTAATTCTCTTTGGACTGTCTTGACGTCAATGGTCACATAGTATACAACTGGGTAGTTGGTCTCATACTCTTCAGAAGGGGGCAGAAAGGCCCCTTTAATCAAAGCAAAACCAAAAGAGCTCCTCACTTTGCTGGGAGAGGGCCTGGAACATGAGGCCTCCTTTCCTTGACATTCAAGAGCAGGGTGGGAATCTGAAGCTGTGTGTCTTCCCCCCCGCGTTGAGACACTTCATGAGTCAGAGACAATTGGTCTTCGTTGATAGAGCAGAAGGGTTTTAATTGAAGCAAGTATAAAACAAAAAGAAGGATGAACTTAGAGCTCACGGAAGGAGCAAAGAGGGGTCCGGGTTGCGGGAGCTGCACGTCTCACGGACTTGCTCACCACTCAGCTGCAAGCTCTGGGGAGAGCGGGTGATACACAGTGAAGATCAGAGAAGGTGTGGACGGTGTGGCATACGAAGGGAGGGGAGGCCCATTGCTTTGGCAGCAATTTTCCTGGCCTTTGCATCCTCTGTGTCCTCTAGGTCATCATTGAAAGGCAGAGGGGCTGCAGGTACAGCTTCCCCAGCCCTCCCCAGCAAGCCCCCCCCATACACAGCAAGTTGGAATGAACAGAGGGCCAGCCTGGGCACTGTCAGCTTCTCAGGGCCTTTCTGTTTTGTATGTCAAGCACTTATTAATCTAAGGAGACTCTCAACAGGCTTTTCTGGATATTTCTGAACTTATTCAGATTATTTGGACCTGCCTAGAGTACCCTCTCAGATGTTTATCTTCTAGTGAGCACTGAACCCAGAATCAACCAGATGTTCCAAAGAGTTGGGGAGGGCGGCATGGAAAGGACAATCACTTTTTGATGGTAGGGAAATTGGAAACAAATGAGCACGCACATTATTTCTAAGGTTCCTTCCAGCCTCACCCCCCAGGGCTAATTCCTCCACATTACTCTTAGATTTAGAAGTTCCCCTACAACCTAATGCTAGCCTGAGTTTTTCTTGTCACTATCCCATAGATTGAATATGAACACTGTCCATCAGATGGGTTTGATGGACAAACCCTGTCCATCAAGCAGTGTCCAGTGCTTTGCCCCATACCTAGCAGAAATAGAATCTGAAGAGGTGGCTTCAGATTGAAGTTTGAAAAGTTTCTAATGTAAACGAAAGAAGATTGTAATTTATGACATCCAAAAAGAAGATTGTCCTGGTAAACCAAATCTTGTTATACTAAAAGCCAAACCCTTTGTCATTAGAGGGTTTACTGCTGATTTCATTTTTACTGGAGACTCTGTAGTCTTTGAATTGCTTTGCCTGTGGTATGGGGCCAGTCTCACATCTAGACAGAGGTGGGGAGGTGGGGTATTCAAGCAGGCTGAGGCTGGCCCCAATACTCTTCCCCACCTAACTCTTCCAACCAATCTCTACCTAAAACCCCACCTTTATAGCCTCAGCCTGTAGTTTAAAGCTTTGGTGACAAAGTTGTGGGAGGCAGATCTCCACCGACAAGGGACAAAGAGCATAGATTGAAGAGATGAAGGTGCCAAAGAAAGACCTTGCCAGCTCCGTTATTTCTCCCAGGGTCAGCCCTGTTAGAGTCATAGAACAAAAAATGTCCCAACCCGAAAGATCTTAAAGACAAGATGGTTAATTCCACATTTTACATAAAGGGAAACTGAGGCCCAGAGTGGGGAGGCACGTTGCCCAAGGACACTCTGCTGCTTGGGCTGCACTGCATCTAAAACCTGGATTTCCTGACCCCCAGGCAGAAGGGCACCTACAGAGACAACAGGCACAATGAGCAGCAATTTTTAGGGAGCCAAATCATTTAGAAATATGAAAACTGAAATGGCTAGAAAAATAGAGAAAATTCTCAAAATGGCTTTCTGACTCTGGGTAAACAGTAACCACATTTTTTTTTGCCTGTTGGAGACCTGGTTTTTAATCACTCCACAAGCAGTTTTCATTTCTGTAGTAAAATTGCTTGTGGTTCTATTTAATTTGTTTCTGCAGGAGCCAGCTTTGGTGAAGATCTCCAAGGAGCTGGCGGGCATTTTAGCACAGCACGCACAGCCAGTCAATGAGAAACGGTTCCCGTCGTGGAGGAAATTCCTCCAAACATTTCTCAGACAAGGTAAATAAGACTGTAAAGTTTCTATTGAGGATTAGTCTACACAACCTTGGATTCTAGTTTTGGGTCAACTGGGGCCAATTTAAATACTTTGCATCTCCCACATTGCTTTAGAAAAGTGCCCCTGCAGCTTTCTTTTTTAAATGTTGGCTAAATCTTTATCTTGCACCCAGCCTCTGGAGTAAATAGGAACGGAGCATACCACACTGTTGCATGTGTAGCTTAAGATTCTGGGGCCTTTTTTGTGTGCCACAGATTTCTCCTGAGAGGTGGGCTTTGAAGTCAGATCACCTGAACCTCTGAACCTTACCTATTGCCTTGAGTAAGCCAAGTTTTTAAACCATGAGAGGCCCACTTCCCTCACTTACCTAGCTCACAAGGCTATGCAGAGGAAATATAGACTTGAAAGTCCTACCACAGAGCCGGATGCAAAATGGTTCTTTAATAAATTTTAGTGTCCCACTTCTATTTGCTAGGAGAACAGAAATGGTCTCACTTCCAGTTCTGAAGGTAGAATTTCCAGATAAGGGTCTTCTACAGTCCGGGAACAAAGCCAGCCTCCATTTCTTTCATCTTCCTCCTCCTACCTCATCCTCTTTTTTTTTTTTTTTTGAGACAGAGTCTCACTATGTTGCCCTGGGTAGAGTGCCATGGTGTCACAGCTCACAGCAACCTCAAACTCTTGGGCTTAAGCGATTCTCTTGCCTCAGCCTCCCAAGTAGCTGGTACTATGGGAGTCGGCCACAACGCCCAGCTATTTTTGTTTTTTTGTTTTTTTTTTTGGGTTGCAGTTGTTGTTTAGCAGGCCTGGTCAGGGCTCCAACCCACCAGCCTTGGTGTATGTGGCTGGTGCCCTACTCACTGAGCTATGGGCTCTGCCCTCATCCTCATTTTCTAATATTGAGAGGTCCGTGAATGAGGAATGGATGGAGTGAATGGGGGGGGGCCTGCATGTGGGGGCCCTTGCTCTCTAGGAGGTTACCGTGGAAGCAGGAGTCTTTAGAAGCTTATTCATAGGCATGAAAAGAGAGGTTTAGTACAACAGACCACAGAAGGTATCTCTCCATTCTGTTCACTGCTGTCAAGTGATAGTACATTAGCAGTAACATATAATGATAAAACAATGCTATGTCAGGTGACATGTAGTAATAACAGCAGTGACAGTGTGATGATGATAATAGCACAGTGAGGATGATGATAATAGCACCGTGAGGGTAACACAGATAGTGCTCATTATGGGCCAGGCTCTATCCTAAATATGCATGTGCAAGTATGTATGTGGGGTACCCCTGTGGGTACCATTATCACTCTCATTTTATAGAGGTAGACACTGAAGTGCAAAAGAGTAACATACCCCAAATTGCTCTGCTAACATGTGGAAGAGCCCAGAAAAGGCTTCCTCTGTGCTGCTCCAGGAGTCTTGGCCAGAGCCAGTAGGTCTGTTTACCTGAACGCATCTCAGCTCAGTGTATGAGGAAGAATTAGAAAGGACAGATCCATTGGTTGTTAGACTACACTGATAGTGAACACCCTGTTAAGGAATTATTTAAGCAAGAGGTTGAATGCCAGCCATCTAACAGGAATGAGGAAAAAGGATTGTTTGGGAGCAGGAGCAAACAGGGGATTGTGCCACATAATTTCCAGTGTCATCTCAACTCTTAAAATTCTGCCATTCTGCAAATTTCCACGTGCAAGCACTGACAGAAAAGTCAAAGTAAGAAAGCCAAACCCATCCGTAAATGGAAGAAAATAAAAATGATCAAGAATAAGGGATTTTTACCACCCTGAAAAAGAGTGAGACCCGATCTCTATTAAAAATAGAAAAAATTAGCCAGGGGCCGTGGTGAGTGCCTGTAGTCCCAGCTACCTAGGAGGCTAAGGCAGGAGGATTACTTGAGCCTAGGAATTTGAGGTTGCTGTGAGCTGTGATGACACCCACTTCACTCTAGCCCAAGCAACAGCAGGACTCCGTCTCAAAAAAAAAGAATAAGGGGTTTTTCTTTTTTAAGTCAAGAAGGAAGACCATACAGGTCCATGCAGGACAGAGTGTTAGAAAGAGTCCAGCTCTTCCAGGGTCAGCCTACAAAACCTTCCTGTATTCGATTTCTTTCCATGTGGGTTTTGTAGATTAAAAAGCCACTATCTCACTTGAGCTAGGGCTTCAACTCTACCTCCTGTTCAGATTTATCCTTTTTCTCAACCATGTTATAAACACGATGCTTTTCTATGAGAGGCAGAACAAGCTTCATTAACCCAGTTTTATAAAGAAACAGAAACTCACTCAGACAGAAAGTGACTTGGGCAAAATCATACAACAAGTAAGGGGAAAATGGGAACACAAAGTTTAATCCTACAGATTTAGCACATTTGAGAACCTGGTTCCTGGGTGGCGCCTGTGGCTCAAAGGAATAGAGCACCAGCCCCATATGGCAGAGGTGGTGGGTTCAAACCCAGCCCTGGCCAAAAACTGCAAAAAAAAAAAAAAAAAAAGAACCTGGTTCTTGTGTTTTCAAAGCTTCTGCCTTGCTTTGAGCCTAGTGTATACAGCAGGCACTGCATACATGTTCCCTGCTGGACCAGGGTGTCCCCCAGGTTTCCTGACTTTACGGTCTCCATCTCCCACCAGCTTCCACTATCACCTGTTTCATTCCATTGCTGTTCTCTCAGTGTGCTTATGGCCACAAAATGTGCTTCACTTCTTATTTCTAAATTGTCATAGGATTATATCAAAGGCAATAATTTCTTTTAGAAGAGAGATTAATTGCTTTGACATGAAAAAATTAACAGTAAAAAGCTTATTGTCATGCTGCTGAGAAGACAGTACAAATAAGCTGCTTTGAAACAGGTTGTCTAAAGTAACCGTGTAAGTTACAAAGGATAATGTGTGTCCCCTGAAGCACTGTTTCCAGACACAGCTAACAGCTAAAGCCACAAAGCTAACTAATCAGAGATTCCCTAGATTTTGGTTTTTGTGGATTTTGTTGCTTTCTGTTGCGTTTACCTCGCTAAATCCCCAACAACTGCTATTACCGGTAGTCCCTAAGTTACAAACGAATTGATTCTGTAGGTTTGTTCTTGAGTTGAATTGGTCTGTAAGTTGGAACAGGTACATCTACCTATTGCCTGCAGTAGCCTCCATTTGTACATCAGCTGGGTGTTTATAACTCCGGGACTTACCATAATAGCCTCCTTTTGTTAAGTGCAAGTTGTGCGTAAAATGGATATTTGTAACTTGGGGACTGCCTATATATTTAGGTACTGTACCCACTACTAGGCCCTATTTGTTTTTTGGTTTGGGGGTTGTTTTTTTTTTTTTTGAAACATTGTCTCTAGCTGTCACCCTGTGTAGAATACCGTGGCACTGCTCACAGCAACCTCAAACTCTTGGGCTTAAGCGATCCTCTTGCCTCAGCCTCTCAAGTAGCTGGGACTACAGGCACCGCCACAATGCCCAGACATTTGTGGTTGTAGTTGTCATTGTTGTTTGGCAGGCCCAGGCTGGATTTGAACCTGCCAGCTCCAGCATATGCAGCTGGCACCTTAGCTGCTTGAGCTACAGGTGCTGAGCTAGTTTTTTTTTTTTTTTTTTTGAGACAGAGTCTCACTATGTAGCCCTAAATAGAGTGTTGTGGCAACACAGCTCACCGCAACCTCAAACTCTTGGGCTTAAGCAATTCTCTTGCCTCAGCCTCCCAAACAGCTGGGACTACAGGTGCCCACCACAATACCCGGCTGTTTTTTTTGTTGTAGTTGTCACTGTTGTTTAGCAGGCCTGGGCCAGGTTTGAACCTATCAGCCACAGTGTATGTGGCCGGCACCCTAACCACTGAGCTACGAGTGCCAAGCCACTAGGGCCTATTTGTTTTGAGGGAATTTTTGGACAGGAAATAGGATTTATTGGTAGGTGCCAATAAGGGACCAGCACAGTGGAAGTCCTCATGAGAGCAGGGCCTGCCACTTGTCCAGGGGGCTAGGATTGGGGATGTACTTGACTCCACAGCCATCCGGGATGAGCCATTTCTCAGCTACCATGTCTTCAAATTCATTTGCATTAAACTTGGTAAAGCCCCTCTTCTTGGAGATGTGAATCTTCTGGTGGCCAGAGAAGTTGAACTTGGCCCCGAGCAGGGCTTCAGTCGTATGCTCCTTGTTCTATAGTTTGGTACAGATGGATATGATGACTTGGCCAATGTGAACACTGGCTTCGGGGCCCTGGAGCCTTCCAAAGGCAACATGCATACCTGTCTGGAGCCTAGACTGGGGATAGCACATGAACGTGTATCAGAAAGGGCCGTCTCCAAGAACTACTAGGTCCTATTTGAAGAGAAGAACATCTTGAACCAACCAAAAAGATAAGTTAGGAGTTGAATGTGTATCCTTTAACATCAGCGTTTCTTATGAAACTTGGTGTTTATTAGGGCTACTCTGACCAAACGTATAGATATTTAAGAAAAGTGCTGTTTGTATGAAGTAACAGATGACTGCATTCGCTCATAGTCTGTGGCTTTTACCTGTAGGCAGAGATCCCCCACCCCCAAAAAATTTGTGAAATATAGGCCAAGTTTATCTTAATGCTGTCAGGTTCTAGAAGCCATGATGTCTAGGGAACACTTAGTTGTTATTACTTTTAAATTAAGATATCCAATTTTTTACAAGTAATAACCTTAATTTTTTTTCCACAAAAGAATTATACACAGTAATATTTGTAAGCTAGGCCTAAAAATAGAAGATTGGGGCTAGGTCATTTTTGTAAATGCTACTCAGCTAGTCCACAAAATTAGTCAGTAAAATATTGTAGTTGAGCATCAGATTTGCTTCTGTGATTTTTGGCATTCAAAGCAAAACATAAAATATAACAAATTATAAAACTCTCATCAGCAAGAAGAAAGCATATCTGTGCCTCAAAAAATGGCAACATCTCCTGCCTGTTATGTATTTTTGAAATATTTTACAACTGGCATTTATATGGGAGCTGATTGGTTGGTGTGACAGTCAGCGTTCTGTCTGCCTGAGAAAAGCCCAGACCTGTCAGACCTTTGAAAAGCAATGAAGTTGATCAGAAAGAGCACTCTGACCATGAAGATACAAACTGTGGACTTTGGGCAGTTAATTCTCCCTGAGGGATTCCAGGGGTCCTCTAACTTTTTAAACAGGGAGTCAGTTCACTGTCCCTCAGACCGCTGGAGGGCCGGACTGCGGGCCCCGGGACAAGTTGGCTGCTAAGCAGGACAGGCAGCGGTGGCAAAAACACCCGGCAGGCCGGATAAATGTCCTAGGCGAGCTGCATGTGGCCCGCAGGCCGTAGATTGACGACACCTGGCTTAGACCATTGTCTTCACAGTGTCTTTATAATTATGATCAGAATCAAAATGACCACGAATGGCATATAAGTAGGGTCTTTATACCATGAATGGTAGTTTTGATTCTGATCATAATTACAAAGACCCTACTTGTATGCCAAGCATTGAACTAAATACTATAGATACAGTATCTCTAAGGTTCACAACAATCTGGTGGGGTAGTTTTATTATGACCATATTATAGATGAAGGAAAAATAAGTCCAGAGAATTTTAGCTGTTTGCCCAAAGTCTCCCAGGCCATGACAGGTGTGGAATCTGAGCTCAAGTCCTCTGAAGGTTGAGCTCTTTCCTCCTGCTCTAATTGGGCACAGTCCCTCTGGCCCTTACTTGTCCTTTCACCACTCCATGCTTTTCCCACCAGGGGGTGTGATCGAAGCATTCCCACCTGCAGACTGTGTCACCAACCTGACAGTAGACATGCTGATAGAACCGAATGGAGAAATCAGAGTGCTGTCAACGGGAGACCAGTTTCATGCCGAAGGCCCCTTCATCAACACTGGTACCACCATGCCTCAGACCTCAGTGAATCCTCAAGTTCTCAGTTATTTGTGCCTCCAAATTGGAAAGGCCTGCAAAATGAAAGATCTGGTTGGTTACTTTTCTATAGACCTAGTGACTTTTATTGATCCAAGCACCTTGGAACAGCAGGTAAGTCAAATGGATGTCACATGAAATATTAAAATATGTCATGACTCCGTACCCTATACACCAGAGTAAAAGGGAATCTGAGGGAGCTTCTAAAATTCACTGCTACTCTGATGAGCTGGCTGTAAATTCAGCATGTGCACGGTCCATGCCAATCTGTATGAGACCAGGCTTTCTGTCTAGAAACACAGGGCCAGAGTCATCCTGTTTAGGTACAGTTGGAGTTTAAATGACTGAAACCATCCCTCATAAGTCTGTTAATTAAGCCCTCAGTTCTGTGCATTTGTGCTTTGCCTGTGTATTGCCATCCAGGGACTGAACTTGTCTAAAGCCTGCTCTTAAATAGACAGTCACCAGAAAAGAGATAAGAGTTCTTGTTTCTGTTTCATTTCTTAGCCGTAGTTCTCCAGCAATTTAGGTTGTCCATTTCCTTTCATTAAAAAATGTATCGGGAAACATTTCAGAAATACAAAAAGGTCTAAACAATAATATAATCAATATCACGCTCCCCGACCTAACTTAAAAATAAAGTGGTGTCAATACCACCTCTAGGCCTGTGTGTTCCTTGGGAAACTCATGGCCCTTCCTCCTGAAGGACAGGAGGAAGCCATGGTCTTATAAGTAGGGTTTTGATTCCTTTTACATGGATATGCCCAGAAATAATGTATAGTTTTATTCTACATTTTTTTTTCTTTTGAGACAGAGTCTTTGTCGCCCTGGGTAGAGTGCTGTAGCATCACAGCTCACAGCAACCTCAAACTCTTGGGCTTAAGTGATTCTCTTGCCTCAGTCTCCTGGTGCCCACCACAACACCCAGCTTTTTGTTGCTGTTGTTGTTGCAGTTGTCATTGTGTTTTAGCTGACCCGGGCTGGGTTCAAACCCACCAGCCTTGGTGTATGTGGCCAGTGCCCTACCCACTGAGCTATGGGCACTGCCCTTATTTTACATCTTTTAAGCATATTGTAGATGATAACATTCTATATAACATTATTCTACAGTATGCTTTTGTTAAATATTACATTATGAGGTTTGCCCTATGCAAGTCTGGCTCTGATGTCTAATATTCTGGATAAATAATTTTTTTTTTTTTGAGACAGGAGCCTCAACCTGTCCCCCTGGTAGAGTGCCATGGCATCTCAGCTCACAGCAATCTCCAACTCCTGGGCTCAAGCAAGTCTCCTGCCTCAGACTTCCAAGTAGCTGGGACCACAGGCACCCACCACAACGCCCAGCTATTTTTTGGTTGCAGCCGTCGTGGTTGTTTGGCGGGCCCGGGCTGGATTCAAACCTGCCACCTTGGGTGTATGTGGCTGGCGCCTTAGCCACTTGAGCCACAGGCGCCGAGGCAGGATAAATAATTTTTAACCTTTATTGCTTTGCCTTTTCCCAAAAAAGATTATAACGCTTAAATCACTACTATTTCATAGGACGTATTATTTTTTTTTTTTTTACACCTCTTAGTGCTGGATGTCTAGACCTCTGACTACCCTGTGAGATGTTCTCCCAGCCTCCCTCCCTGAGTTATCAGCTGGCCATTGAGCATTGTAAATATACTTTAGCTGTTTGATTTTGATTATTGTCAGTTTTATGGTTCTCCATTTCAGTCAGATGATGGTTTCAAAGTGAGAGTTTATGTTTTTGGCAGTTTTCAGCTTACTCCATAATCATTTTCCATTTGCCTTCCTGAGCCCTCTGTTGGTTTTACATTCTGTTGTCAGGCCTTCACATTGACAGAGAAAAGGACAAACTGAAGGGCACTCGGAATCTACCAGGGGTTGAGAAGCAGACAGCCTGGAGAGAGCTGGGTGGCAGGGAAGCATGAGAAGGAGGCCAGGGGAGGCTATTTATCATGAGGAAGAAGGGTTAAATGTGTGGTCCCTGGCGCAGTAGAGAGGATGGAACCATGGCACAGTTGACTCACGGTTTGGTATGGGGAGATTTGCACATAGCAGTGAGAGGGAACTTCTCCAAACATAATGCTTGCCCTTCCCTGGGCACAATGTAGATATTCAGTAAATATTTGTTGAATGAATGATGTACAAGAGAGGTTTCTAGCACATGCTGGATGGTGTCATGAAGTCTTTTAGAGAAGAAGCATTGGATGAATGAGATGGGGAGATATTAACCCAGAATTCTCTGATTTTACCATACTATGACTTTTCTTTTTCCCTTCTCATTAATACTTGAGTATAGAGAGTCATTTGTGTTACAGTTATCAATAGAACACGGGAGGAAATTCTCAGTGACCTCACCGAAGGGTATTTCTCTATTAGCGAAGGAAGTATTTCTGTTCTGTGTGTATAAACAGGGGTCCCCAAACTTTTTAAACAGGGGGCTAGTTCACTGTCCCTCAGACTGTTAGAGGGCCAGACTTCAGGCCCCAGGATGAGTTGGCTGTTAAGCAGAACAGGCAGTGGCGGCAAAAACACCTGGCGGGCCGGATAAATGTCCTAGGCAGGCTGCATGTGGCCTGCGGGCTGTAGTTTGAGGATGCCTGGTATAACAGATGATTTGCAAATCACTGGCGTATTCTCTAGCCGTTTTGCAAGTGATATCACTTCAGAAAGTACCTTAATATCTTCTTTTTTTTTTTTTTTTTTTTTTTGAGACAGAGCCTCAAGCTGTCCCCCTGGGTAGAGTGCTTTGACATCACAGCTCATAGCAACCTCCAACTCCTGGGCTCAAGCAAGTCTCCTGCCTTAGCCGCCCAAGTAGCTGGGACTACAGGTGCCTGCCACAATGCCCAGCTATTTTTTTGTTGTTGTTGTTGTTGCAGCCGTCATTGTTTGGCGGGCCTGGACTGGATTCGAACCCACCACTTTAGGTATATGTGGCTGATGCCTTAGCCACTTGAGCCACAGGTGCCGAGCCTTTAATATCTTCTGATTGGAATGCTTTGTGATGCCAGTGAGGAGACTGGCAGTCATACTGCCAACCTCTTATTTTTGCCAGGCAAAAAATATTATGTCATCTTACTCGATACTTCTTTGGTTAGTAGTGATGATGAACTCTTCTTTATGTTTGTTGGCCCATTTGTATATCTTTTATTACTTGCCTGACCACGCATTTTCCCCCTTTAAATTGAACTATATGCAAAGGTGGATTTGTAGAAGCTCTTTGTTTATGAGGAACTCTTATTCTTTGTTACACATGTTGCAAATTCCTGCTCTCAGATTATTTGTGGCCTTTCTCTCCCTCCCTCCCTCCCTCCCTCTCTCTCTGTTTTTAGCTATGTCTCTCCACCGTAAAATCACTATTTCTTCCTTTGTAATTGATCAGTAATAGATTGTAGAAAGATGTTTAAAGTACACTCCTCTTACTCATCAATTCCACCCATGTAGTATATCATATTTTGCTAAACTTTTTCCTGAATCAACTACCACTATGGTAGTGGGAATTTTCTTTTCTAGCATTCTTTTCTACATTTATTGGCTGGCAGTCACTGTAAGGAAGAATTTCATCTCCACCTTTTATATCAGCACAAAGTCATAGGTTTCTATTCTATTTAATGAGTTGTATTTTAATACTTTCATATTTTGATGCTCAAATTGTCCCAGATTTAGCCAGCTGGAGACCCTGCAGGGTGGTTCTTATGTCTTTTTGACATGTTTGTATGATTCTTTTGAGAATTTTCTTACTTCTCGCACAGTAAGATATTCTAAGATCATTTTCAATTTTCCCTACCCCAGACCAAGGGTCAACTGAGAAGCCCTGGTTCCTTTTTCAGAGGAGGATATTAAAATCTGGGATGATAGTACTTTCCTGGGCCTGCTGTATCATTGTTTCTGAGATCTCTCAGTGAACAAAGCTGGGAAATATATGGTCATATATGTTTAATACATATACACAATTATATACACACACAAGCACATATATACACATACATACATGTATGCATCTCTAAACTATTTCTCTATCTACCTCTGTGTGTGTGTGTGTCTGTGTGTGTATGTTGAGATAGGGTCTCTCTCCATCACCCAGGCTAGAGTGTGTCAACAAGATCATAGTTTCATATAGCTTTTAACTCTTGGACTCCAGTGACCCTTCTGTCATATATATATATATATCATATATATGTGTACATATATATATATATGATGTATATATGATATATATATATCATGAGTTCCTCCCAATATCTCCAGTTGCAATACAACACTCAAGATTTTTTTTTCTAACACTCAAGATTCTTTCTAGAATCTTTTACATGCTTGAAAATAAATACCTTGATGGAATCCAAGTCACACTAATTTGGGGCACAGTCACGACCTACATACATTATACACGTGTATCAGAATACCACAAGTATTCCCAAATGTACAACTATTATATATCAGTTTTAAAAATACAAAGAAAACCCCAACCTCATGCTGTTATTTTAATTTACAAAGAAAAAAAAAGCTAAATAGAGCCAACGCATACATAGAAACTATGTATGTTTATAAAAGACAATCTCATGGGGCAGGAATCAATATATCTAGAGCAGGGGTTGGTAAAATATGATTCACAGGACAAATCTGGCCCACCATCCATTTTATGTAAATAGAGTTTTATTGGAACTCTAAAAATATACATATACCTTCTCCAACAGTGAGAAACTTGTGTCTTTACACAAGTTTCTGAATATATTTACTTATCTGTTCAATCAATTTACTTATTTGGTTAATGTAACCAGTCTCCCACCCCCTCCTGCCCTCTCCTTTGCCTGCCACACCTGTGCCCCACCCCCACACGCCTTGTGTGCTTGGATGCCAAACCCTATCATTTGGGTCTCAAATTTATTTGTAATGCTTCTCATCATATGAAAGTTTCACATAATCAAATCTAGCTCTTTTTTTCTGAATTGCTGTATTGCCTTGAGCCTGTCACTTTCTCTTGCTTTTAGTTTTCTTAGCTATAAAGTGAGGAAGTTGGCTCTTTGACTTCTGAGGAAAATTTCAGTTCAAAAAAGTTATTGATTTCAATAGCATTTTTTATAGTACTTATTTTCCATGTCAGAAAA